TTGGCTTCCGAAGTCGCGGCTCTCTTGACAGTGATAGCGGGCATTGCGATGTGAGCCTTTCTGGAGCTGCTGCTTTGGGCTTGGCTTGTGCCTTTGCCTGTTGTTTGGCGTTAGGCGCTGGAGCGGATGCCTTGAGGTTTGCTGGTTCTGCGTGTTTGTATTTGCATTGATCCCCTTTCGTGCACTTTTCTTCTCTCCATGCATAGCAGACCCCGTCCAGCCCTTGGTGCTTTGCCTCTGCCTTTGCCCTTGCCTTTCTCATTGTCCATTTTGTGCTTGTGCTTATGGGAATATGGACAATCCTTGCCTTTAAGACATCCTCCTTTCTTCGTGTAATGGAAAACACATGGCCAGTCCTTCTTCGCTCCAGGGCTCACGCTTTTCCCTTTCCCTTTTCCTTTGCCCTTCTTGTCGTGGTCTTTTGCTTTTGCTTTGGGTAGCACTGGCGCTGCTGCGTTTCCATCATCTTCCTTCCCGGAACTCCCTCCTTTTCCCTTTCCCTTCTTCTTTTCTGCTGGCGCCGCACTCTTGTTGCCGCTCAGCAAGTTCTTTGCTGACTTCTCCTTCACGTCGTAGACGTAGTCCTCGCGGTCAGTCCGAAGTTGTCGATCAATCAATCCCATAAGGAAACGGTAGGTCTTCTCGGGGTGTGCATCCGGTAACCGCGCATAGGTATTGAGACCAAATTGCAGCTTCCTGCTTCCTTTGATCTTGTGATATAAGATGTCCCGGAGCGTGATTTCTCTGGGTGTATCCTCCTTCCTCAGGTTGAGCAAGATGTCATACCATTTGTTGCGGAACACAGACATGTTCTTGTCCCCGAAAAATTCCAGGTATCACTCTCACGGGTCTTCGAATTATGGCGTTGGCTGGTCCTAACAGAATCATCCCTCAGTAGAGCTCGTCCACGATCATTGAAGTCCGCCACAATGATGCTTTCTTTGGGTGGCGTTCTCACTTTCGAGCTCCTTGTTTGTCTCTGCCAGCTGATATACAAAGCTCTCTTGGATCTTGAGCTCCCGCCGTGTCTCTTCAATCTCTTCGGCCATTGCAGTAATTTGATTGAGGTAGTCGGATTGCGCATCGCTGGCCTTTTGCCTTGATGCAGCGAGTTTGCAAGTTGTCGAACTCCCGATCCCTCAGCGTGGCGCGATCATGTAATGCATTTCCTTTATGAGCTCGATCTCTTGCAATCTTGATCTCCTGATTGATTGCACGTTGACCGATCAGTTACATCTCATCCCGTTCGCTCACAGCAACCCGTGCGCAGTGTGCTTCTTTGTTCGGCGTACCTGATGGCGTCATTTGCCTTGCTCACCAATACTTTGTGGCTCGTCATCAATCGCCATCGTTGGCTGTGGCAACAATGCTGTTTCCAATCTTTCACGCAAACCACGAATAGTGTTCTCCTCGTTCTGCAAGTCCGTAGCGATCTTCACCTGATAGGAGTTGATCATCGATTGATACTGTGCAATTTCAGAAGAAACGCTTCTCCTCTCTTGCTCAGCTTTGCTCTTGCTAACCAATGAGCTTTCCTCCTCACATCTAATTCGATGTTCAAGTAGATCAACGGTTGGCGCCGCTTCTCGTAGTCGAGGACTTTGTATCGGGCTTCTTCTTGATACTCTCCGTAGATCCTCGCAAGATGTTGTGCTTGATCTTCGGAAAGTTGTGTCATCCCACGTTGAATGTCAATGTGTTGAGCAGCTTCTCGAAGTTGTTCGTCGGATCTTTTGAGGATATGGGCTACTTGTTGTTCCGACATACCAGCTCTCCGTTCCAGTTCCTGAACGCGCGTGACATTGCCATGGTCATCACATTCATGTGACTCCTGTAGCATAGCCGTAGCCTCTTCCACTTCCTGTCTGAGGGTCTTGTTCTCCTGAGTGATCTTTGACGGACTTGGGCCTGTAGGCGACTTCGATCGCCCTCTCTCCTTTTTCACAGGACTCATCACGCTCCTTCTCGGTGTCGATAACGAAGCTGATGACGATCCCTTCTTTTCTCCGTCCCTGGACCACACAGCATGACCAACTTCTTTCCAGGATGAATGTGATTGGTCGTGGCTATTACCAGAACTTGCACTTTGTTGAGTGTCCGGAGAGTCCGCGATTGCCGGCACAGCAAACATACCTGTGGAACCGCTGGAACTGTCATTTCTAAAGGTTGCAGTTCCTGGCTTCCGGAAGAATCCATTGTACGGCTGTAAATATGATTTCAAAAGGTTGTATTGTGCCGCAGTTGCAGTCCACCGCTAAGACCAATTGTAAGCTTACGGCTGATAACCTGCCAGGAATGGGAGAGACGTTGTCTATAGTAGGGGTCGGTGTAAATAGGGTTTGTAAGGATAATATGGCCTGCGTTGTCTCACAACCAACTGCGACAGCGGAGCACGGTCCTCTTGCCTCTGCCTTCCGTTGGATATTTGAATTGAACATCTTGTCAAGAACTTGAGCCCTGAGCCAAAGCATCCGTATGCATGAGTCGGCTGTTCACACAACAACATCCCCGCAGTTGCAGTCCACCGCTGGGACCAATTGTAAGCTTACGGCTGATAACCTGCCAGGATGCGAGTCAACCACGTAGTCAGTGATAAGGCAGTTGGGGCTCGAATTTCGTGGGGTGACCACTACCCTCGACAATGGAGTCGTATAGCACGGGTCGTTGTAAATAGGGGTTGTAAGGGTAATATGGCCTGCGTTGTCTCACAACCAACTGCGACAGCGGAGCACGGTCCTTGTGCCTCTTTACAGCTTTCCGTTGGATATTTGTCTTGAACCACTTATCAAGAACTTGAGCCAAAGCATCCATATACATGAGTCGGCTGTTCAAACACCAACATCCCCGCAAAGGTTCGAGGGACCTTGCTCAGAACCTGCCCTTGGGATTTGGCCTGTGGCGCGGAGATTCTTAGCAATGATGATGCACACCACCATGATCACTTTCGTCATCATCATCATCATTTTAACCATCATGTTCACCATCATGTTTGTCATCACCATCATCATCCTCATCATCATATTCATCATCATGTTCATCCTCGGCCATATTTTGCATCACCAATCATCATGTTCCTCACCATGCTCATCATCGCTCTTCTTTTTCATATACGTTTCAATTGCGCCGTTAGACCCGACTGGACATGCAGAGGATGCGGTGTCATGATTGTCATGATAACTGCTGGTGATGCTGAGGATGCGTAGTGATGATTATCATCAGGATGATGGTGCTGATGATGAACACGATGATGATGAACATGATGATGATGAAGATGATGATGATGAACATGATGATGAAAATGATGACGATGATGATGATGGACATGATGGTGAAAATGATTATGATGATTGATGATGATGATTGATGATGATCATTATTTCATGTTCATCATCATCATTTTTCATCGTCGCGTTCATCATCCAAACCGTGGCGCTCTTCTTTTTCATATACGTTTCAAGTGTGCCGTTAGACCCGACTGGAAATGCAGAGGATGCGTTGTCATGATTGTCATGATAACTGCTGGTGATGCTGAGGATGCGTAGTGATGATTCTCATCAGGACGATGATGCTGATGATGAACACGATGATGATGAACATGATGATGATGAAGATGATGATGATGATGAACATGATGGTGATGAAGATGATGATGATGATCAACCTGTCAGTTCACGCAGCTCAAGTTAGGGAAGGACCATTATCCGACACACTGTTGCACAAACAAAATGGCTCTAACTCTGACCCCGCGCCATGTAGAAAAAACCCGTCATGCCAAGCTCGACAATGATTTCATAGCTACCCCCCCCCACAAATCACCTACTTATCCACAACACTTCACCAACAACTCAAGAAAAACTTTTTAAGGCGTTTAGGGTGGTAAAGCCAGCACCGCCAAAACCAACCACAATGCAAAATGCAGACCCAAAATTTAAAAGACGCGCAGTCACAATCCGCACTTGCCCGACCACGCAGCGCGGATAACACGGCCAAAACCCTGAAAAAATCGCGAGAGTTTCGCCCTTCAGAATGATGCAGAGTACAAAGAAACGCGCTAAGATTCGCCTCCTCAGTAACATTTGAACAAAAGCTGGAATCCCCCGCCCAGACGCCGTACAATAAGGGAGGCAAAGCCAGCACCCACAAAACCAACAGCAATGCAAAACGCGTGCCCGTTCTGCTAAAATTGAAAAGATACGCAGTCGCAGTCCCCCAACATGGTTTTCTTGCCAAAGTTTCCATGCGCTAGGGCACTTCTTGTAACATCAAAAGCATGATCATTATCGTGGTGCTCTTCTTTTTCATGCTTTAAGCGTGCCGTTAAACCCAACAAAAAATAGCAAGGAATTCGGGGGCGGCAACACCGGGCGGCAGCCCTTAAATCCGGCCTCGCCGTGCAATTTCGCCCAAATAAGAGCACGCCTAGGCTTTGCCTCCCAAGACGGTCACTGCCGCCGACCCCTCGCGTCGTCTGCATTCCCAGCGCCTTTGGTGCGTCATCACCACCCGCGCGGCCACTGGAGCTCGAGTTGAGGGAGGGCTCAAGACATTGCAAATATGCAGCACCCTTGCTGCGAGCATCGCCAACGCTTTCGGAAGCCCCTGTGTTTCACTCATCGCCTGCATGCCCTGCATTGCCCGCAGTTGGGGCCACTCTTCTCACAGCCATTCTGATGGCACGCGCGCGCGCGGGCGGGCGGGCGGGCGGGCGGTCGGGCGCGCGTGCGGGCGGGCGGGCGCGGGGTGGGCGGGTGGGTGTGGGTGTGGATGGGTGTGCGCGCGTTGTTGGGTAGGTGGCTGTGTGGTGTGTGTCTGTGTGTGTGTGTTCGTGTGCGCCATCCCATCCATTCCTCCACCCCATGTAAAAATTGCATCCCTCTTATCCGCAATCCATCGCGTCAATCCGTCCAGCCCGCGCGGCGGACTGCGAGGCCGGCGCGCGGAGCACGAAAAATACTCAAAAATTGGAGAGGTGGGAAATTGATATGGCATACTTTCTCTGCCTTGATGAAGCTGGCAATCATGTTGTGGGCCATGGCGCGCGCCAGCAAAGTTTTGCCGGTGCCAGGGGGCCCATAGAGGAGCACCCCCTTCGGAGATTTGATACCGACCTCAGTCTGGTCCCAATTCTGATCGTGCCTGTCCCATGCCTTTGAGATAGGCACTCGCTTGAAGAGTTCTGGATTCGTCAAAGGCAGCTCAATGACCTCTCTCATCTGCCTGACAAATTCACGACCCAACATCGCCGCATGACCCCTCGCAAACTCCTGAAGCAGTGGGGGAATGATGCAAACATTGCCTGATCTGTTCTGTGAGCCCGCCGACGTCACCGTACGAAATCTTCCCTGGGTCCTCTCTTGGTTCAAAGGCTTCACATTCATATTGAATATACTGAATATATGGAATATATGGAATATACGGAAAATGGACTATGAGCGGCGGTGCGTGATGCCTGTGGAAAGGCTCGCTGGCGCGGCACACACCTCATGTGATCTCGTGTCCACTTGATGTTCGACAAGACTATGGCTGGACCATAGTTCACCTGCTCGCTGCACCTTCCCGCTGCCATGATGCGTTTACGGGGCAAAGCGGTCAAACAAACGTGAGTTCAACAGGGTGGAGGGAAAGAGGCTCAGAAAACAAGGCATGGCATGCGCTTATCCACCTCCTGGACAGCGTTTCTTGCGTTCTTTGCACTTTTTGTTTGGGTCATTCACTGTGTGACGGCTTTGTCGTTGGTGCAAAGTGCAATGGCAGTCGGCTGAGAGAGAAAATGCAAAGTTGCTTTCCTTCCGGACCTTCAATTCATTTGCTTCTCTTTAGCTTACTTACACATCTTATATTTGCATTCTGTTTCTTTTCTCTCTCTTCTCTCCTTTCTTTCCTTTCTCTTTCTCTCTTCTGCTTTCATTTGCTCTCTCTTAAGTCTAACTCCTTTTTCTCAACGGATGTTGGCGCGTCTTGAACCGTTTCTCTCCTCTTCTTACTTTTCTTTGTCTCCATGTTTCTTTTGCGCTCTTTTCCTTTTTCTTCTCCATGTTTCGATCTGTTCACCCGTGTCTCCCCCCCGTCCTCTCCCCCCCGTAAGAGGGAAGAGTGTGTATAATGCGTCGCGCGCGTGTTTTGGTACAAGTTTCTATTGATTTTCTTGTTTTAAAATGTTCCTTTCTGTTCTATTGCTGTTAATTAATGAATCAAGTTAGAAAAAAACAAGGCCTCGGATTCTCTAATGTTGCTAACTATTTAGAACAAATAGAAAAATAGAAAAACAAGCCTCGATGTAGTCCCGGGCCCACTTCCCGGAGTCCTGGGCCCCAATTGTTTTTCTAATTTTCGATTTTTCATAATTTTCATAATTTCTCTAATTAATTAGGAAAAATAAAAAATAGAAAATCAAGACCATGGAGTTTTCTAATTTTCCTAATTAGTTAGAAAAATTAGAATTTATAAAATTTGAATCCTTGTTCTTTCTAATTTTCTAATTTTCCTAATTAATTAGAACAACATAGAAAAACAAATAAGGCCCAGGATTCCGGGAAGTGGGCCCGGGACTACAGGAATTAGAACTAATTAGAACAATAAAGAATTAGAACCCTTGTGTTTTCTTTTTTTATTATCCTAATTGAATAGAAAATTGTGGACAATGCAGGAAAAATAGAAAACTAGAAAAACAATTGGAGCCCAGGATTCCGGGAAGTGGGCCCAGGACTACAGGAATTAGGAAAATCAGGAAGACTAGAAAATTCGAGACCTGGATTTTTCTAATTGTTCTAGTTTTCCTAATGAATGAAAAATTAGAAAACATAGGAAAATTAGAAACACAATAGGGGCCCAGGATTCCGAGAAGTGGGCCCGGAACTACAGGAAATAGAAAAAATCGGAAATTCGATTGCATTTTTCTTTTTTGCTAATTTTCTAGCTAACTTAGAAAAATATGAAAAATAGGAAAATACAAAAATCGAAAAACAATTGGGGCCCAGGATTGCGGGAAGTGGGCCCGGAACTACGGGAAATAAAAAAATAGAAACAAATATAAAACAAAGTCCCTCGAATTTTCTATTTTCTCGATTTGTTAATTTTCCTAATGAATTACACAAATTAGAAAATAGAAAAAAGAAAGGCCCTCGAATTGTGTAATTGTTCTAAGCTTCAAAAATTAGTTAGAAAAAAAAAACAAATAGAATAACTATAGGGGCCCAGGATTCCGGGAGGTGGGCCCGGGACTACAGGAATTAGAAAAAATGAAGTATTAGACAACAAATGGCCTCGATTCTTTTCTAATTTTCCTAATTGAAAAAAATAGGAAAATGCCCTCGAATTTTCTCATGTCTCTTATTTTCCTAGTTAATTAAAAAAATAAAAAAAGAAAAAAGAAAAATAGAAAAACAAAAGGGGCCCAGGATTCCGGGAAGTGGGCCCGGGATTGCAGATATTTTTCCCGAAAGCATGGCGAAGGGTTCTTCCGCTGGGTTCACTTGAGTTTTTCTCATGAGAGTCATTACAAGGTGTCATTGCAAGGAATCATCATCATAAAGTCAATGCAAGGAGTCATTGGAAGGAGTCATTGCAAGGAGTCATTGCAAGGAGTCATTGCAAGGAGTCATTGCAAGGAGTCATTGCAAGGAGTCATTGCAAGGAGTCAGTGCTAGGAGTCATTGCAAGGAGTCATTGCAAGGAGTCATTGCAAGGAGTCATTGCAAGGAGTCATTGCAAGGAGTCATTGCAAGGAGTCATTGCAAGGAGTCATTGCAAGGAGTCATTGCAAGGAGTCATTGCAAGGAGTCATTGCAAGGAGTCATTGCAAGGAGTCATTGCAAGGAGTCATTGCAAGGAGTCATTGCAAGGAGTCATGAGAGTCATTGCTGAGCTGCGCATGGAGTCAAGTGCAAGTTGCAAGTGCAAGGAGTCAAGTGCAAGTTGCAAGTGCAAGGAGTCAGGTGCAAGTTGCAAGTGCATGGAGTCAAGTGCAAGTTGCAAGTGCAAGGAGTCGAGTGCAAGTTGCAAGTGCAAGGAGTCAAGTGCAATTGACTTGCGAAGAGTTAAAATCTCTTCTTAGGGCGGCGGGGTAGTGCCGACGACACTACACGAAAATCGACCCTCTGCGGGGATCGGCGTGGTCGAGGTGCAAAAACCCATGATTTGCGATTTCTGCGGCGCTCGCGCGACCCTCTGCGGGGATCGGCGTGGTCGAGGTGCAAAAAACCATGGTTTTTTGCGACTTCGAAAGTTCCCGCGCGACCCTCTGCGGGGATCGGCGTGGTCGAGGTGCAAAAACCCATTGTTTTTTCCGATTTCCGACATGCCCGCGCGAGCCTCTGCGGGGATCGGCGTGGTCGAGGTGCAAAAACCCATGGGTTTTTTGCGATTTCGAAAGTTCCCGCGCGACCCTCTGCGGGGATCGGCGTGGTCGAGGTGCAAAAACCCATGTTTTTTTGGTGATTTCTGCGGTGCCCGCGCAACCCTCTGCGGGGATCGGCGTGGTCGAGGTGCAAAAACTCAAGGTTTTTTGCGATTTCTGCGGCGCTCGCGCAACCCTCTGCGGGAATCGGCGTGGGCGAGGTGCAAAAACTCGAGGTTTTTTGCGACTTTTGTTGTTCGAACTGGTCCTCGGGAGTTGTCTCGTGGTTCGCGCGCCTGCTCCCGGAACCGACGGGTCGCGGGTTCGATTCCTCCCTGGTCCGCGGCCCGCGGGGTCGTCGCAAGATGCAACTTGCATTTTTTAAAGCAACTTGCGCAGAGCAACTTGCGCAGAGCAACTTGCGCAGAGCAACTTGCACCGACCAGTTTGCGCAGAGCGCCTTGCCTAGAGCAACTTGCGCAGAGCAACTTGCGCAGAGCAACTTGCACAGAGCAACTTGCACAGAGCAGCTTGCACAGAGCAACTTGCAGGGAGCGCAATTTGCACAGAGCAACTTGCAGGGAGCCACTTGCAGGGACCAACTTGCCGGAGCAACTTGCGCGGAGCAACTTGCGCAGAGCAACTTGCACAGTGCAACTTGCGTAGAGCAACTTGCGCAGACCAACTTGCACCGACCAGTTTGCGCAGAGCACCTTGCCTGGCGCTGTCTCGCGCCAACTTGCACACACTGCAACTCGCACAGAGCAACTTGCGCAAAGCAACTTGCGCAGAGCAACTTGCGCGTGTGTCAGGCCGGGTTAAACAAGTCTGCCGTACATCGTGGGGAGTTATGCTTTCAGGCCACTCACCCTGTAGGAGTTTGACGCAAGGAGTTTTCATCATGAAAGAAGTTGCGAGGAGCATGACGCACACGGCTTATTTACGGGCATGGCGCACACAGCTGGTTGTTATGTGGCATCTTGCGGATGAGATTTGGCTCAAACAGAAGTCATGGAGCTCGAAGTAGCTAGGCTTCAGGCTGGCGCGGCCCAGCATGGCAAAGCGTGGCTGCAGCAAGAGGTGGCGGCCAAAGCCCGACCCCAACTTCGCGCACTCGCCCGACAGCTGGATGTGCGCCAATGGGTCGCAGGCAGCAACGTGACCAAGGCAGACCTAGCTGCCGCTGTCGTGGAGCAGCTGTGCCCACAGGCCAGGATCGAAATCTGGAAAGTTTTGCAGGTGTTTGTTTTGCTGTGCTGATTGTTGCCAGGAGCCAAGCAGTTCTGCGGCTTCGCTGACGCCGGTGTCTCGACTTGGTCGTAGTCGGTGTTTGACGCTATTGTTTTTGATGATGTTTTGCGGATGGCAGAAATGTGAGCACCAGATGGCACCATGTCGTGTTTCTTACGGACGGGTTGCCTCATCTCATGGACAGCGCAGGACGAGGCAGAGCTTGTCGTGGCGACGCTTCGTGCTGGTTTGTCGGAGAAGGGCAAGGCGTGGCTGCAGCAAGAGGTGGCGGCCAAAGCCCGACCCCAACTTCGCGCACTCGCCCGACAGCTGGATGTGCGCCAATGGGTCGCAGGCAGCAACGTGACCAAGGCAGACCTAGCTGCCGCTGTCGTGGAGCAGCTGTGCCCACAGGCCAGGATCGAAATCTGGAAAGTTTTGCTGGTGTTTGTTTTGCTGCGCTGATTGTTGCCAGGAGCCAAGCAGTTCTGCGGCTTCGCCGACGCAGGTGTCTCGACTTGGTCGTAGTCTCGACTTGGTCGTAGTCGGTGTTTGACGCTATTGTTTTTTGATGATGCTTTGCGGATGGCCGAAATGTAAGCACCAGATGGCACCATGTCGTGTTTCTTACGGACGAAAGTGACCCAGGCAGACCTAGCTGCCGCTGTCGTGGAGCAGCTGTGCCCACAGGCCAGGATCGAAATCTGGAAAGTGTTGCTGGTGTTTGTTTTGCTGTGCTGATTGTTGCCAGGAGCCAAGCAGTTCTGCGGCTTCGCCGACGCCGGTG